CTGGGAGGTTTTGTTCCAAAAGAATAAAGTAATGGCCTCATCTGCAAAAATATGTCAGATTTAAATGATCTTCCTTTCTGGCACTATCCTTCCAGTGGTACGAAATCTGAAGCCTAGAAAACTTCACCAGATGAAAAGTAGAGTTTGATTTTTTTAAAATGAATTTGTTCCTTGTTTTTGAAGGGATTCAAATAAATAGAAAGTTGAAGGATTTGCTGATAAGTAGAACAAACATACCCTTTGGAGAGGATCAACAACCACACAAAACCAATGTCTAAGAAAACTAAGACTAATTTTGTTACCAACTTTGCAGGATTCAGAGAGAAGATGTGGTATCATTTGCTCAGAGGTGTAATGCAGGATTTCCAAAACCAAACATCTTGACAGACAATGGCTCGGACAGTGGCTGAACGGAATAATCAAAAGCAGAGGAACAATGAGCCCCAGCTGCAGAAAGGGCAGGGTCAGTAGTGAGGTGACAGTGTGCCAAGCTTCAAGGGCCCGTACGAAGAGTTCTGCAGCTGAAGTCCTTCTTCCTCAGTATTGAGGTCACAGATGATCTCCCCTCCCTGTTTACACCACTGAGCTTCAACCCACCTCCAAACCTGTCATTGCCTGGAGTGTCTCCAGCCTCGGTCTGTGGCAGAGCACAGCCTGGTTGGATCCCAGAAAGAATATTGGGGCGGGGGGGGGGGGAGTGTTCTTTTAATTTTTTGTTTGTCTGTGGGTTTTATTTTACATGATGGAAGCCAAAGTTTATTGAAGGTATAAATGTCCATTTCGCAGAACAACTAAATATGTGAATAACTTTATTAAGGAAGTATCTCATCCCAATGTAAAGGTAACAGACAATCAGAGAATATTATACCAAACAAACCTGCTGTAAAATGCATTTGTCCTTGGGAGGTGATAGACCAAAAATGAAGAGAGGGGATGGTGAATCTAAATGTAAAAGCTAAAACTAAAATTCTTAGCAGAAAACAAAGGAGTATATATATATATATATTTTTTTTTTAAATATATATTTTATTGATTTTTTGCAGAGAGGAAGGGAGAGGGACAGAGAGCCAGAAACATCGATGAGAGAGAAACATTGATCAGCCGCCTCCTGCACACTCCCCACTGGGGACGTGCCCACAACCAAGGTACATGCCCTTGACCGGAATCGAACCTGGGACCCTTGAGTCCACAGGCCGACGCTCTATCCACCGAGCCAAACTGGTTAGGGCAAGGAGTATATTTTCATGACCTTGGATTAGGCCATTTTTTCTTAGATATCACATTAAAAGTACAAATGACAAAATAAAAAAACAGATAAATTGGACTTTACCAAAATGAAAACTCTTGCATTCCAAAGAACAACATCAAGAAATTGAAAAAAACCTATACCTGAAACTAATGTAATATCAATTGTAATTTTAAAAAAATTTAAGACAATGAAAAAACCTACAGAATAGAAGAAAATATTTGCAAATAATAGATCTGATAAGGAATTTGAAGTCAGAATAAATAAAACCTCCTACAACTCAATGATAAAAATACAAATAACTCAATTTTTAAAGTGGGCAAAGGAATTGAATAGGTTAATAAGAGCATGAAAAGGCCACATCCTGCGATTCCGTTTATATGACATATCTAGAGTAAGCAAATTCATAGAGATAGACAGTGGATTAGTGTTTGCCAAGACCTGGGTGAGGCAGGGAATGAGAAGGGACTGCTCCTTTTGGGGGTAATGGAAACGTTCTGGAATTAGATAGTGGTAATGACTGCACAATTCTATGAATATACCAAAACTACGGAATTGCACACTTTAAAAACGTGGGTTTTATAGTATGTGAATTATATCTCAATAAAACTGTCAAAATAGATACACAAATAAATTCAGAGGGAAAGGATGGAAGGAAAGAGGAAAGAAGGAAGGGAGGGAGGGAGGGAGGGAGGGAGGGAGGGAGGGAGGGAAAGAAGAAAGAAAGAAAAAGAGAGAGAGAGAGAGAGAGAGAGAGAGAGAGAGAAGAGAGAGAGAAAGAAAGAAAGAAAGAAAGAAAGAAAGAAAGAAAGAAAGAAAGAAAGAAAGAAAGAAAGAGAGAGAGGGAAAGAAAGAAAAGGAAAGAAAGAGAAAAATGGCCCTAACCGGTTTGGCTCAATGGATAGAGCGTTGGCCTGAGGACTCAAGGGTCCCAGGTTCAATTCCGGTCAAGGGCATGTACCTTGGTTGCGGGCATATCCCCAGTAGGGAGTGTACAGGAGGCAGCTGATCGATGTTTCTTCTCATTGATGTTTCTAACTCTCTATCCCTCTCCCTTCCTCTCTGTAAAAAATCAATAAAATATAGTAAAATAAAAAAAGAAAGAAAGAAAAGATGGAGGGAGGTCGGTCACAGACAGTCCTGAGCCCCTCTTCCTGATGAGCAGGAGCCCCCGTGCCCTATATATTGACCTGCCCCACATGTGACTGCCAAGGGAGGAGTGAGGGACAATCAGGAGGAGACACTCATGGGCAGAAGTGTAACCAATACCTCTTGAGATGTCCCTTTTCAGTCGGAAAATCCTAGGAGCTGGCAACCCATGGGAGCTGAGGACACCAGAATTGAGCAAGAGGGATTACAGGAAGGTAGGAGAAGGAGCAGGGGTATTCCCTGAGTTAAAAAGCATAGTCAATTTTATAGTTGCCTGGATCCAGGTGTGAGCAAAGGTGGAGATGTTCAGGGCACCAAGCAGATATTGGGTGGCTTTTAAGGAAACTGACTTATGGAAGTAGTCATCCACTGTCCCCAAAGTGATCTGTGACATTCATTTTATTCAGTAAGCGTGTGGGCCTACCAGGCACTAGACATAGGCAATAAAAGGAATATAAGAGCCAGGGGCTTGCAACCTGGTGAGAAAGACAGATAAGTTACTCTATTAATACAACAGGTGCTATGATGAAAGTAGGTGCCAGAGCACAGAGAAGGATCACCAAATTCAGGGTAGATAATCAAGGAGGGCTGCCTGGAGGAGGAGGTGGCACTTGAGAGGAATCGTGCCTTAGAGGAGATGCTGCCATTTCAGGAAAATGCAATCTAGTGAAGCTGACTAACCCTCTTCAGGGAGAGCCCATCACAGCTCACAAACTAATTATCTCTCCTTGTGCTGAGACCTTCATCTTCCATGAGGAAGGACTCTAAGCCAGAGAAGAAAACTGTGGTCACAGATTCTAGTTCTGATGCTGGACTAGGCACTGCACTGCTTTATAATGGTAGAGACCTTAGGTCTTTTCTACCTGTCAACAATTTTCTCCCCTAATGAATTAGAACTGTAGATTATCTGTATAATCATCTAGCCCTAGGCTTCCCTCCCAGGGTCCGAGGTGGGTGTCCTGTGCCCGAGATGGTGATCCCTTTAGCTTTCAGAAAGTTGGGCAGGGCGAGGTGGCTAGAGGAGCCCTGCCCGCCCCCCACCCCCAACCCCGCCCCGGTGCTTTGCAAATGCTACCTTTGACCCTCTGTGTGCCGGGATATAAGTAAGAAAGGAAGCATTGATCTAGCATCAGTGCCATCGCCAGCTCCAGACCTCAAACTCTTTCTTACCAAGAAGGGCCAGAGACTGATGAGTAAATAACTTTTTTGCCATAGCCATACAACTATGATCGTAGTTTCTGTTCAGGAAGAAAGGGTAGGGAAATACTACTGTCTCCCACAAATAAGTAACTCACAGTTCGGGTGACCCTTGGGTTAGAGTTCTATAAACCAGCAGGCCTAGCGAATACAATGGGAAACTTGGTCAACTGGAGACGGATGCTTCATACCGACTTTCAGAAGGCGGAGGCTGAGCAGGTAACAATTTGATTCTCTGGGTCAATTGGATCAGTGAATCCTGTTTTAATGTAACATGCTCCCAAAATGGCTCTGTTATGAATTGTATTGTGTTTCCCTCAAAAAGATATGTGGAAATCTTAACCTCAATATCTCAGAATCTGACCTTATTTAGAAATAGGTCTTCGCAGATGTGATTAGTTAAAATTAGGTCATTCTGGATGGAGTAGGAAGGACCCCTAATCCAATATGACTGGTGTCCTAGTAAGAAGACGGTCACATGAAGACAGACAGACGGGGAGAAAACCATGAAGTCAGAGATTGGAGATGTGCAGCTGTAAACCAAGGAGTGCCAGGGTTTGCCAGCTAACCAGGAACCCAGGACAAGGCAAGGAAGGATTTTCCTGTGGGTTTTGGAGGGAGCTGAACTCTGCTGAACTCTGAATTTGGACTTCTAGCCTCCAGAGCTGTGAGACAATACATTTCTGTTGTTTTTTTCTTTTTCTTTTTTTTAAATCCTCACCCAAGGATAGAGAGAGTGGAAGGGAAGTAAGGAGGGGGAGAGAGGGAGAGAGAGAGAGAGAGAGAGAGAGAGAGAGAGAGAGAGAGAGAGAGAGAGAAACATCTATGTAAGAGAGACATCATTGCTTGGGCCTCCCACAGGCGCCACACTCGGCTTGGTGCCTGGGAGAACCTGCAACCCAAGTATGTGCCCTTGACCAGAATCGAACCCGGGACCCTCAGTCTGCAGGCTGACACTCTATGCACTGAGCCAAACCGGCTAGGGCTAGAAATTTTTTAAATGTCTTGTTACATCATGGTCATATAAGGAAATTCTTAAGCCTACGATACTTAGTAGCCTTTCCCTCCTTTCCTTTGCTCTAAAGGAGCAGGACCTTTAACTTTAAAAAAAAAAAAATCCTTACCCAAGAACATGTTTATTGGTTTTTGAGAGAGAGAGAGAGAGAGAGAGAGAGCAAGGAAGATGTGAGAGAGAATTTTTAATAGGTTGCCTCCTGTACATGTCTGGACCAGGGATCGAACCCAAAACCTAAGCATGTGCCCTGACTGGGAATGAACCCAAAACCTTCGGGTGCAAAGGAGGATGCTCCAGCTAGTGGAGCCTCCTGACCAGGGCAACGAGTGCGATCTTTATCTCCTCTTCTTTCTTTCTCTTAATCTCACTCGTAAATAAATAGACGATGAGGTCTCAGACCTTTCCAGACAGCCATGCTTCCCTGAGCGATACTCTCCGTTGCCCTCATTATTCCTCCTGACTTGCCCATAGGTCTTCTTCCAAGGCCGTCATCTAATTGTGATGTGAGCCTCATCACAGCTGCCACAACACGTCACGAGACACGTACATGGCACACACTCAGAGCTGAAGCTGCAAGTGAAAACAGGAAGCAGGCAGGCTTTCCATTCCAGAGGGAACTGTCTCAGATGCCTTGGAGAATGACTCCCAGCTTCTGCCTCGGTGAGCTGACCTTTGTTTCAACCTGGAAACTATTTTGTTATGGTGTGTGGAAATGGCAAAGGTTAAATTCAGTGCTTCGTGAGGCAATCGTCTATCTAATAACCACCTTTTGTTATGTCAGAATAAGACCATCTCTGCAAAGGGTGAAGAGGGATGCATTTACTCGTTCATTCACTCACCGGACAGGTATGAAGTGACAGGCTACTTTGCCAGATGACGGGAAATCTAAAGCTAGAAACACAGTCTCTACCCTTGCAGGGCTCGTAGTGGGGAGAGAGATATAAACCGACTTGAATGTAACCAGGACCTCTCGAGCCGCTCTGCTATATGTTGGAGACCTATCCCAGCATCCAAACCGCCCTGCTCTCGAGGCATCCCATGAGCAGGCAAAGGAGGGGCATACAGCGCGCATCATCAACAACACTTGCAATCATCCTCTTTTTTTAAAGCCTCTCTGCTCCTTTCCCAAACTCTGCCTGTCACCTCATCCCACCCCAAAAGCAGGACCTTAGCTTTTTCTCTCCGCCCTACCTTACCCCTCCACTTGCAACCTGGCTTATTTAAAAAAAAAAAAAGACTTATCTCAAGTGTCTCTCAAGACTGCTCCAGGGAGCCTCAATTCAATGTGTCTGGTGCTGCTGGACTGTAGCGCGTAAGGCAGGAAGCAAGAGACCAGAGAGGAAGCCTAGAGTCAGAGTAATGTGACCCTCATCTGCAGATTATTTTTCATAGTAGCAGCACTTACTTTTAATTTTTTTTGGACTACTTCTAAGGTTGCAAGACTTGGTAAATAAGAAGATAAGATGCCCAGCTAAATTTGAATTTTATATAAACAATGAATATGTCTCACGGCAAATTTGAACATATTTATACTAAACATTATTTGTTATTTATTTAAAAATCAACCCCGACTCCTTCATAAGAGGTATTGTGTCCACCCATCAAGAGGTTTCTACTATCTCGCCGTCTCTCTTTTTGCGATGTTAGTGGCTGGTGATGATGATCATGGCCTAAATTGATTATTTCCCTAGAGGTTGTAAAACTATGATGTTCTAATTCTACCTTTTTTCCTCTTCGTTTCTTTCTTTCTTTTTAATCCTCACCTGCTAAATAAGGATATTTTTTTCCATTGATTTTTAGAGAGAGTAGAAGAGAGGGGGAGAGACACAGAGAGAGAAACATTGATGTGAGAGAGATGCATTGATTGGTTGCCTCCTGCTTGGTCCCAGACTGGGCCGGGGATTGAACTACAACTGAGGTATGTGCCCTTGACTGGGAATCGAACCTGCGACCCTTTGGTCCTCTGGCTGACGCTCTAACAACTGAGCCGCCGGCCAGGGCTCCTCTTCATTTCTTAGCTAGAATATGTCTATAAAGAGAAACTCGCCCACCAACTATTTGGTTTGCCTGGTCATTTTCATATAAGAAAAGTAAGACGCATGCTTAATTCTTTTTATTTATGCATTTTCAGAGTAATTAGTTCCCTGGCATCCTCCAAAGGTGACCAATGAGCTGTGTTCTTTCCCTTGAATGTATCATTATGAACTCAGGGATTTTGACATGCATATCTTTTGATCCATTGCTATTATTATTCTTTTAGACATTCAAATCGTCCCATCTTTGGCCAGTGGGAGCCTCTGGCACTTGGCTTCTGAGTCCTTCTGATGTCACTCCAGTAGTCTTTGTTGGTCCCTTTGCTTTCTAGTGTAGCAAGATGTTCCAGATTCATCTTACACATTTCCAGCCCAGACCTGAACAAGACATTTCTCTTAGGAGCCCCTTCAGTGGGAAATGATGTTGAGAGACCAAACATCTCTGACTCCACTATTTAAAACTATAACAACCCGCTGGAACAAACACAAGTTCACATGCTCCCTGAGATCCCCTGGCCCTGATCTGATGATGCAGGCCTGAGAAGAATGGGGGAGACTCCTGGCATAACCCAGGCAAGGGAGAAGAAGGGCCTGGATCAGGACAGGGAAATGGCACTGGCTGAACTTACGAAGCAGGTTGACCTAGAGACCTCCCAATTCCAGACCAGGAGGCAAAGGCCAGGGCGGATCATTTCTCAGGATCCAAACCTACCCGCCAAACAGCCTTTCTCCGTCTCACCCTCACCCCGGGTAGACACACGTACCAAAACATCGCACCCTTTCCCAAAGCATAGAAAGCAGGATGCACACTGGGGTCCTGGACAAATGCCCAGCTGCCTCCAGGGTGGCCTGGTCTGGGGACAAAGCCGAGAAAGCGCCCAGGGTTTCCTTGTTCCCCCTCCTGGGTTTAAGTGAATCTTGAACACACACTTCTCGGCTACCCAAGGATTAGCCATGTGTTCCAGCAAGTGATTGAAAATCATTACTCGTCTCTTTTGGTTGAACCTCAGACGTTTGAAATGTACACAGCTTGGCAGGCTCGCCAGGGCAGCTGAGCTTTAAGAGGACGTGTCCCAGCCATCTGTTGCCCTGCTTCATACCAGCCTCTGCCCTTCCCGCTGCTGAGGAGCGCAGGGCTTGACGAGCAAATGCAGGACAAAGACAACTGCAGCCTTGGCCTCAAACAGTTGCTCACGCTGTGTCTTAAAGGTGGGGGGAAGGGAAGTTATGGCATCGTTTTTAAGTGCTTTGCCTTGAGACATGGAGTTTTTCCTTCATCTTAGAGATCCAGCCAGTTTTAGGGACAGAGACAAAGGACATTCCTTGTGATTTCCCCTCCATCAGAGCAGCTCCAACTGTGCTCAGCTACTCTGAGGTGATTCAGGCATGCAATGTGAAGATTAGAATTTCATTTTAAAATATCTAAGTATTTTTAAAGCTGCTATTAAACCCTGCGGCGTGGCTCAGTGGTTGAGAGTCGACCTACGAACCAGAAGGTCACAGTTTGATTCCTGGTCAGGCCACATGCCTGGGTTGTGGGCTTGATCCCCGTGTGGGGCTTGCAGCCGATCAATGATTCTCTTATCACTAATGTTTCTATCTCTCTCTCTCCCTCTCCTTTCTTCTCTGAAATCAATAAAAATATATTTTTTAAAAAGCTGCTATTCAAAAGTATGTAGCCTAAAACTATATGGATGCATTAAATAAACACATCTATCCCAGGAGGTTTAAATTGCATCACCCTGGGGAAGGCAGTCAATTTTATTATTATACTTTTTATGAATAGACTTTATTTTTTCAGAAAAAAATTTTAGATTTGCAAAGAAATTGAGCAGATAGTACAGAATTCCCATATTACCCGCCCCCTTCCCAGCACCCACTTTCCCCTATTAACATCGTTCATGGATATGGTACATTTGCCACAATTGATGGCTCGATATTGAGACATTATTATTAATTAAATCCATAGTTTATTCAGATTTCTTTAGTTTTTACCTACTGGCCTTCTTTCTGTCCAGGATCCCATCCAGGGTACCACGCTACATTAAGGTGTCTGGTCTTCTTGGGCTTCTCTTGGCTTTCCCAGACTCTCCTTGTTTTTGATGACTTTGTGAGTCCTGGGTGAGTATTTTCCTCTGTTTGCAATCCCTCTATCAGGATTTATGTACTTTACTCGTGATAGACTGGAGTTGTGGGTTTGGGGAGGATGATCGCAGAGGTAAAGTGCCATTCTCATCACATCATATCAACGACCTGTGCTACATGATTTATGACGGTTAATGTTAATCTTTTTTAAAAATATATTTTATTGATTTTTTTACAGAGAGGAAGGGAGAGGGATAGAGAGTTAGAACCAACGATGAGAAAGAAACATTGATCAGCTGCCTCCTGCACACCCCCACTGGGGATGTGCCTGCAACCAAAGTACATGCCCTTGATTGGAATCAAACCTGGGACCTTCATTCAGTCTGCAGGCCAATGCTCTATCCACTGAGCCAAACCGGTTAGGGTTGTTGATGTTAATCTTGACCACCTGCCTGAAGTAGTGTTTGTCAGATTTCCCCACTGTAAGGTTTTCTTCTTTTAAAAATTTTATAGAAGTGTGATTCCGGGAGCCGGTCCATCCTTGCTGCTTGACACAGTCGCTGCAGGAAAGAAACATCTGCACAGCATATGTTTCAATGGACCTGGCATATATAGCATACTGTTCTTAATATGTTTGCTCCCTTTAGCGCCATGTGTTTTAACCAAGGTCACCTCTCCGAGAAAGGTTGTTTCCCCAGGTGGGGATCTTTCCCTGAGGTTAGGGAGGGGATACAACCCCTTAATTAAGTGCCAGGCGGGTAGTTAAACTACATAATCTTTACTCCCTGGAATGGAGATAAGAAACGCCCTAACCTTTGTAATAGAAATTGACAGGATTAAAATCGGCTGGTATAAATACGGATGTAACAAGACAATAAACATCAGATCGTCATCAGACTCTCATCACATCATCATCAGATCCTAACCAGAACCTAGCCAGAGAATATGGCAAAAGATCCTGGACAGAACCTGGCTACAGAACTTCACTGGAGAACCTAGACAGAACATGGCAGGAGAACCTAGACAGAACCTGGCTGGAGACCCAAGACTGAACCTGGCTGGAGAACCTGGAGAACCTGGCTGGAGAACATGGCACCAGAACTTTGTTGGAGATCCTGACCAGAACTTCGCTGGAGATCCTAGCCAGAACTTCGCTGGAGATCCTGGAGGGAGAACCTCGCTATGCTGATGAACTGAACCCAGTTTCCATGTCATTCATTCTTCGCCGACTCCGTCCACACCTTTGGGGATCCCTGGACCCGTTGGGGTTGGACCCCAACAGTGTGAACTCATAGATATTTATTTTATACTTCTGGTTATAATGTAATACTACTTTGTTTCATTCCTCAGATTGTTCCAGCTTTGGCCATTGGGAGCTCTCCGTCGACTCCCGTGCCCCCGTGTCACACCCCCATCAATGCGGGCTTTTTGTGTAAACTCAGTTTTGTGAGGACTTTGGCACAAGTTCCATCTGGCGTCCCTGAGAGCGGGCTGGCACCGATAGTGGGTGTGTCTGCAAGAATCCATGCTGCGCCAGCCTGGGCATGTCTGCTTGTAAAGAGCAGAGCAATGAAGAACTGAGTACTTCCTGCACCAGCTCCACCGGGCTCCACAAACACCTTTAGCAGTGACTATGGAGAGATGACATTGTCTTGTTTGTTTAGTACTTGCTGTAAGTTTTAGTTGTTTATTGCCTAACTTTTATGTTTATGATGAGGATAAAGAGCAGTTGGATATTTTGATAATTACTCATTCAATTCAAACAAAAATTTCCAATACTTTTCTTTCTGGTTTTTAGATCGATTTAATTGAAGACTATTATAATCTCAAATGGTGGTGGTGGTGGGGGGGTAGGCTGTGGGTAGGAGTTAAGAACACAAACTCTGGCACAGGACTTCCTTGATTTAAATCCTTGACCTTGGGCAAATTACTCCACTCCCCTGTTCCTCAGTTTTCTCACCTGTAAGAGGGGAATGCTAATGGTAGACCTACTTCAAAGGTTTGTTAATTGAGTTAATATACATAAATTGATTAGAATAGAGCCTGACATATAGTGGGTGCTGTGTAATGGTGTCTATCATTATTATTTACACCATCTGCTATGGTAAGAGTGTTTGTATCCCCCCAAACTTACTATGTTGAAACCCTAATTCCCATGGTGGCATTAGGAGGTGGGGCCTTTGTGGGTGATTAGATCATAAGGGTAAAGCCCTGATGATTGGGATTAGTGCCTTTAGAAAAGAGGACCCACAGATCTCTCTCGTTTCCTCTGTCACGTGAGGATCTATGAGAAGTCTGCGACTCCAAAGAGGACCCTCATCAGACAATGATCTTGGACTTCCAGTCTCTAAAACGGTAAGAAACGAATTTCTGTTGTTTATAAGCTACAGCCTATGGTGTTTTGTTATAGCAGCATGAATGGACTAAGAAACCATTGATCTGTATGACCAGAATTTTCTCAGAACTCTGTGACCAAAGCAAAATACAAAAACAAGTTGGATGCTAAGACTGACATAAGACTGTAAATCGGTCAGGGTTCCGATTTAAAAATGCAACAGGAACCGGCTCTGGATGACTTAAGCATAAGAGGAATTTACAGAAAGCATGCTGGGTAGCCCACAGAATCTCTGGGAAGGCCAGAGAGCCAGGCTCAGGGCAGGAATGACAACAAAGGATGCTGGACAGCAGCCAAGAGCATGGCCAGAAGTGTGACACAGAAGCTGTCTAGAGTCCTGCCCTGGCCTCAGAACCCTGGGAAGCTTGTGCCACAACCAGGGCAGGGGCCTGAATGATGACCCTGCTGCTGCTGATACCCTGGAATCTGGACATGACGACCACAGCTGCCACCCGCACGGGCAAAGGCTCTTTGAGGCACTCCCTCTGTGGTCCCTGGTTCAGGCCAGGGCAGTGCACCTGATTGGCCAAACACAGATCATATGTCTAAGCTCTGCAGATGAAGGAGGCTGGGAAGCAAGTGTCTGGCCTTTTCAGCCTCTATGGTGAGAGGTGAGCCGTGGGCTCTAATTTCTACTGAGACTCAGAGGGTGGAGTCTTCCCCACACCTGGGAAGGGATTCTGAGGCTGGGCACCCAAAATATGGCAAATGTCATCCATCACCCCTACTTTCAGATTTTGTTCCATCATATTAGCATCATTGATGGACTTCGTAAAAAGCAAAAGTTTGAAAAACACTGGCCCATTGCTCTGGTGTCCCTTATATTTTTCAAGTCAGAGGGATAGGTGACTAATTTCTGTGAATTCTAAGGAAGATAGAAGCTCTGCTGGCTGGATTTGGGTCGAATTTCATGGAGGCCCAGACTCTGGGCCTTAAAGGATGTTGCATCCCAAGTTTTTGTAAGTGACAGTAGATGCTCCTGCAATTCATAAAATACAAATTCCTTTTTTTTTAAAGTATATTTTATTGATTTTTTACAGAGAGGAAGGGAGTGGGATAGAGAGTTAGAAACATTGCTGAGAGAGAAACATCGATCAACTGCCTCCTGCACACTCCCTACCGGGGATGTGCCCCGCAACCAAGGTACATGCCCTTGACCAGAATCGAACCTGGGGCCCTTGAGTCCACAGGCTGACGCTCTATCCACTGAGCCAAACCTGTTAGGGCTGAATTCCTTTATTTTTTTTATGTATTGATTTGAGAGAGATAAATGTGCTGTTCCACTTATTTATGCATTCATTGGTTGCTTCTTGTATGTGCCCTAACTGGGGACCGTATCTACAACCTTGACATATTGGGACAATGCTCTAACCAACTGAGCTACCCAGCCAGGGCTGCAAATTCTATTATTTTTTTATTTTTAATTTTTAAAAAAATATTTATTGTTGAGAGTATTACATATGCTCCACCTTCCCCCCACCCCTCCCACCCCCATATACCCCTTCTAGCCCATCCCCCGCCCAGGGCTTTCACATACAAATTCTTTGAAAAGATACAAACTGCCCTAGCTCAGTGGATAGAGCCTCGGCCTGTGCACTGAAGGGTCCCAGGTTCGATTCTGGTTAAGGGCACACACACACCAAAAAAAAAAAGATACAAAACTGATTATTGTTTTTATCATTTTGCATTGTGTGGCTCAACAGATACTAAAATTACCATTGCCATCTGGAATCTTTGAAATTTTTTGCTCTGGGAAAGAAGCCTTCATATTTGCACGTTGGAAACCCTGTGCATTGTCTAAGTGGAGGAATGGAGTCCCAGAGGTGAAATGACTTATGCAAGGTCACACAGCTGGTTTGGTGGCAGGCTCTGAGCCTAGTGCCTCAGTCCTTGGTGTTCCCTCTTGTCATGCTGCCAGCAGCTGGCCCAGGAGCAGGCCTGGCCTTCCAGCCCACAGCCATTGCCTTTCTGACAGGAGACCCAAAGCTGCTTTTGAATACTGGCCTGCGGCCACTGCTGCTGCTTTATTAATTCTTACGGTTTAGTGTGGGAAATCCTGAGTGGCTTTCTCTCTGCCTCAGGCTCCTCCCTGAAGAGAAGAAAAGAGCAAGCAGACAGTAGCCCCCACACTGGTGCTGGGCTTCACCTCTGGACTCCAGCCTCTGCTGGGCTCTGCTCTGGCTCCTCCTGAGTGTGGCTAATCTCCTGCCTTAACCTTTGACTTGTTCCAGATCCTGATAAACAGATTCCCTGGTACTGCAGTCACACCCTGGCTCCCAGCCATGAGGCTAGGTCAGATCCTACCGTCTGCTGCATGCACTCTAACAATGAAACAGCCTGTCTCCTGGTCTGGCCAGCCAGATCTGGACCCAGCCAACCCTGAGGAAGCTCCTGGAAGCAGGGCTCATACCCTGCCCTCCCTGGCATCCTCAGCACCCACCGTGGCCTAGCAAACCCTTGTTGAAGAGATGAATGGCCTGCTCTGTTTGGGTGCTGCCCACATCTAGTCATAACATACTACAGCAAAGGGAGGTGGAGGTGTTGAGAGGACAAACTGTGTAAAAGTTATTTTTCATCTACGCCACCTGGGGGTATTTATGTCTTGTATTGACACTAGTTATTTAGATCTGAACCCACAATGCCATAGACAAGATTTGGGCTGTGGCTTGCCCAGGTCAGAGCAGGGGAAACCGGTCTTGGGAATGACAAGAGAACTTCAGGCAAAGTCAACTTAGCTAAACCAGGGAGAAAGACATCCATCCATCCACTGATTTATTCATTCATTCATTCATTCATTCAATAGATATGTATTGAGTACCCTGTGTGTCCAGTTTTATGTTAGGCACCCAGAGATTCAATGATGAATGAGACAGACTCTCTGCCCTCAAGATGTTTAGAGTGAGGAAGACAAAGCAGGGAACTGGTATTTACAATAGATTATGAAGCAGGCGGAAATAATAATAGCTAATATTTATTGAGTGCTCACTATATCCCAGACTCTGCATTAAGCTATTGACTATGCATTGTTTCAGGTTGTCCTCACAGGAACCTATTAGTAGGTATTACTATTACTTCCGTCTTACAGATGAGGAAATAGGGCGAGGAGAGGTTAAGTGACTTGCCCAAGGCCACACAGCTGGAATGAGTGGCATACCTACATTTTCAATTGAGATAGTTTTACTATAGGGCCAACGCTTCCCGTTCCTCCACTATAGCTCTGTCTCAGCACAGTAGAGGAACGCACAGGATACGATTGTAGCACATACAAGTACACTGAACGGGAGAGGGCAGGGAAGACTCCCTTGAGGAGGTGACACATAAGCAGAGTCCAAAAGGAAAATGGGGAGGAAAAGGCATTCCAGATTGAGGGAACCGCATGTACAGAGACTGGAAGCAAAGGCCAGGGTGCATTAATTACTGATTAGTGAACACTGACTGTTTGCCAAGGACATCTAGAAGCTGTAACATCAGTGTCAACATCACTGGCTCGTAGTGAATGGAGAGAAGACTGGAGAGAGAAGAGGCTAAAGGGTTTAGCAGGCACCAGTTCACAAAGGCCTTTAAAGGACAGGGGAGAGATGCTGAAGGGGAGTTTCACAATCAGATTGCACTTCAGAAAGCTCAGTTTTTAATTATACTTTGGAGAAGGAATAGAGTCAAGCAAGACAGGAGGCCATTACGGTTGTCCAGTCAGGAGCTGACGGTGGCCTGCAGAGGGGATTGGCAGTGGCAAGAGAGAAAAGTCGCCTAGGTTTGATTACGTTGTTGTAGAGGAGGTCACCCTAAAATCAGGAGATTGGTGGAGACCAAGACACCTAGGTGAGCCTCAGTGGGTCAAGGCTCAGCACTGGTCCAATGTCAGGCAAAAAGCCAAAGGCTAATCAGGTAAGTGGATGCTAGAAGAAAAATCCAGCAAAAGGTAGTGGGGACTCAGCAACAGGAATAAGAGGCCAATGAAAGGACTTCCGCTCCTGGCAGGCTGGATGAGGAAAGAGAATTTTCCACTGGACAAGTAGAAATGGGGGAGTCAACGGGAAGCAGCACCAGGAACAGGGTCACGAGATTATTCTGGACTGGCAGTGAGACTGAGGATGCTCATCTGCAAGACAGAGATGCAGAGTTCCTTCTGTGCGCCCCTTTCTCTGCCGGTAGCCAGATGGGTCCTATTTAATCGGGTCTGGGTTCAAGATCGGTGGGACAGGGCAATGTCGTGAAGGAAAAGAACAGAGCTTGGACCACAGACAGATTGAAGTTGGGACCTCATCTAGAGCCATTTACTAGTTTACGACTCCAGGCAAGTTACTTAATCTCTCCGAGCCTTAGCTCACTCATCTATAACATGAGGAT